ATCAGCGCTCCACGGGGACCCAAACCCTGCCTAAATTCTCAATTACAAATCTTTATAAAACGGTCACGCAACAATCTAAACATTTGAAGGATTGGCGGGAAACCGAGAGGCCGGTAGAGGGAGACTTGGTAGCTGTGAGGCCGGTGGTAGTGAGAGACCTGGGAGGTTCATGTGGTAGGTTGGGTTAGGTATTGAAGCCGACTCCCGCGTTGTTGCCATTTTTACCTTCAGCACGGCTAGTACTAGAATTGGATGTGGTTACGTTAACCCCCACAAGAGTATGACGGCCCTGATCTCTAGTGGTGACAGTTTATCACAGTTACCACAGCTTACTTCAAAGTATTTAGCCAATGAGTGTTGAAAATGTTTAGAAATATTTTATTTGTGTGTCATGCAAATTTAATTTGACACGCGAAAGAAACAGGAATAAGTATATTGTTATTTTAAATAGAAATAAAAATATATTGGTTACAAAATAACATAATTTGTTCTAAATAAGTGATCTTTGAATTCTGAATATGTATGACTTGAAACAGTAATAAGAAAATAGTTGACAATCATGCAAGCAAGTACATGTGTAACACCTCGAATTTTTACTGCAATACAAAATGTGGACATACATGAATTATCGATGTGTTCTCATAAAGAAATACGTCCAATTTTACCATGTTTGGTTCGAATGAGTTTAATTTCCCCGTTAGACATAACAAAGGATTGTGTTGAAGAAAGAAAACAAGTTTTGACAATTTTATCTGGTATTGAATCAGTAAATTCAATAATTGCACTGCTGTCGATAGATTTTCATGCATTGGAGACTGACGTTCGAAAAGAGCAACAATTGAGGTTAGTTTTACTGATATTGTTTATAGTAGCTGTAAAAATATTGTAAAATGAATACCTTATATTTTTAGGCAGAAGTTGGGTAGCTTACAGAGAGATAGTGTTCTTGCACAGTCATTGCAAAGTGGTCTTGCTTTAGAATTTGAACGCAGTGAGTCTACGAGACGAATAAGACTAGTTCTAAGTGAATTGTTATATATAGCTTCTCAAGTACAAGAACTACAAAAGAATCAGGAATTTCAAATCAAACAATCCGATTTATTTGATAATGCAGTATACATGGAAGAGATTTGTTATGTGATTTGCATTGCTTTAGCAGAATTACCAACATTGTTGTCAATTCTAGATATTACGGAAACATTATTACATGTTAAACATGGTCCAGAAATAATTTGTTGGATAGTTGCTAATATTCCTGATAGTTTTAACGAAGTATGTGCACATTTAATCGCCAATGGTGAAAGACAAGAGGAATCAACATTGGGCAGAATTAGAACAATGGCTTTGACAATGTTATGTCAAATGAATCCTAGACAAGCATTAGCTGTAAGAGCTAAATGTGTTGAATTGTGTAGGATGCCAGCTTTAGCAATTACATTAAGTCTGGAACATGAGAATATAAATAATGATGAATTAGAAAGTGATATAGTTGCATTTGTATCAGGGTTATTGCTTGGTAGTGATCAACAAGTGAGAACATGGATCGCAATGTTTATTAGGAATGGACAAAAACGTAAATGGGAATCTCACACAGCATTACAGTCTTTAAGAGAAGAACTTCTCAAACGATTGCAAGCAATCACTTCCCAAAATGCAGGTCAATTGCCAGAAAGTCAAGTTGTTCAAGCTAGTGCTTTACTACGCCTTTATTGTGCATTAAGAGGCATTGGAGGCATTAAATTTCAAGATGATGAGGTAGCAATGATTGTTCAATTGCTAACATCTCATCCTCCTCCATCTCCAGCTGGTGTAAGATTTGTTTCTTTAGGTCTTTGTATGCTTATTGCGTGTTCATCATTAATAGGACATCACAATCTTGAAAAGCGGAGTATAGAATGGGTGCAGTGGCTTGTTCGTGAAGAAGCTTATTTTGAAAGTGCTAGTGGTGTAACAGCAAGTTTTGGAGAAATGTTACTTTTAATGGCTATACATTTTCACAGCAACCAATTGTCAGCTATTTGTGAACTTGTGTGTGCAACTTTAGGAATGAAAATACCAATTAGACCAAATAATTTAACTAGAATGAAGCAAATTTTTATGCAAGAGATATTTACAGAACAAGTTGTTACTGCTCATGCTGTTAAAGTTCCAGTCACAGCTAATTTAAATGCAAACATTCCAGGATTTTTGCCTGTACATTGTATTCATCAATTGTTGAAATCACGAGCATTTGCAAAACATAGAGTTCCAATAAAGAATTGGATTTATAAGCAGATTTGTAATAGTGTGCCACCACTGCATCCAGTTCTCCCTGCTTTAGTTGAAGTGTATGTCAATTCAATTTTAGTAACCAACAACAAAACATCAGAACACACGAATAAACCAATTACGGAAGATGAAATCAGGAGAGTATTCCAAAATAGTGTGTTTGGTGCAAATTTTGATTTTAAGAAAAATAATAATGTTCCTCAGAGAGATATAGATAATATAGACATTGATATTCCAAAACCTTCTCTTACATCGCAGTTATTACTGTTATACTACTTATTATTATATGAAGATGTCAGATTATCCAACATGCACACATTCATCTCACAGGATAGAAAAGTTAAATCATATTCAACTGAATTTCTATCCGAGTTACCAATAAAATATCTACTTCAGTTAGTTCAGAGAGATCAAATGAATTATGCAGGATTATTTTCTCCTCTTCTTAGACTATTAGCAACTCATTTTCCACATCTTTCATTAGTAGATGATTGGCTTGACAATGAGATGATTAATATAGATTCTACAGTTATGAACTATGAGAATGTAAAAATTACTGATATGATGATTATCGAGACATTTTCACATATTCAAACATGTCCTTCGAGAACAGGAAGACTGTTAAGACAATTAATGTCAATGAAACCAACTGATATCTGGCCTCATGCTGAAATTATAATTTATTATTTCAAGGCAATTTTAAGTCAGCGAGTTCCTAGATATATTCAAGGTAAGTTTTTATTTACTTACAAAAAATATTTTTTAATAATTTCATTTTACATGAAAATTACATTACTGTCCACATCTAATAAGAGTTTTTTTTCATCATTGGAACATAATTCTGTCTACATATAATTTACATGGATCAATGTTATTAAAATTCTAGAAAAACTAAGATATATTATTTTATTATTGTAACAAGTAGTTTTTACCTGCTCCTAAAAAACTACTTTTTAATAATCATCACTTCAACATTGTTACTAAAATAGAGTTCGTTCTATTTTTATTTATTTCTGCTGAAATTTCTGATCAAATAGATAACAGGCGAATTGTGCCATTTTTTCTTCATTGTTGCGTGAATATCTGTAGAACGTTTGGAACGTTGATGACGAATTTACCGAATCGTTATTTACAAAACTCCTCTAATGAAACCATTCAAACTACATATATTTGAAACATTTCTGATATCACTAAAAAAATGAAAAAGATATTTAGGTGTTCGGTTATAGTTAAGGCGCTCTTTATACACGATGTTCACGCTATTAATCTCCAGTGTTTTTTTTTTCATAAACAGTATATTTGTGAGACAAATAGAAGAGTATAACGTTTTACTATTTCTTGTACGCAGTGCGATGGCTCGAATAAATGTATTTGTATGTGTAATAGTCTTCCTTAAATTGATAACCATAATTTTTTTATACCAAATGAAAACGGTTGTCGAGACGAGTTCAATGACCTGAGATATGTTAAGAAACAATGTCTTAAAAATGCAGAAATGTAGGTGATACTACGAAGACTTTACGCTACATTCAATACTGCTGGTATTGTAACTGCCGACATTGAAAAAATTTGTCTTGTGGTCGTGTATTTCTTTTTTTTTTATTAATTTTGTGACTTTACCTAGTAATAGTACTAAATGTAGTGTTATAAAGTCCCCAAAGTGTCTCTTTTATTTTGGCCTCTTTAAGACATTAGAAAAGCTATTACATATATCACATATCAGTTAATTTGTCCTGACAGCCGTTCTGATATGATAAAGAATAATACATCTATTAATTTAATCAATCACTCAACCCCATCCGGACAGTTTCGAAAAATTAGATATCCAATTTCCACCCCCGCTTTTATCCGAAACTTCGATAAATCTATTAAATCTGTATGTCCTATATTATCATATCATTATCATTAGTCTTTTCGATATGACTGATGTTTGCCGCATAATGTGATTCTACTCGTGTAATGAAGTAAAAGTGGCACTTATGAATATCACTGCACACTTTTAGGTCTAAATACTACATAAAATTCAGAGTATGATACACTTACAGTGTCGCAGTGTTAACTACATACATATCCAAATACGTATATTATTTAAGTCACTAATGTAGTTAGCATAATAATATTGTATTGGCCAAAAAGTAATAACGGATTTCTGCAATAGATGATGTTTTTCTGATTGCAATACAAAATACAGTTTCTAATTAATAAAGGATGTACATAGTATTGTGAAAGCTACCACTTTAAGGCGCTGTTAAAAAAAAGATCATTACGATTGGGTTATATTTCCTTTAAATTGATCTTGTTTTGAAAATTAGTGCCGAGAAGGTGTAGTTTCGAACAATTATGCTCTTTTATTTCCGGAAAGGGAAAAACGCGGCACAAACGACAAAAAAGATTTCCTTTGTGCACATTGATGGTGCTTTAAACGAACGAAATTAAAAAACCACAATTACTTGAAAATGCACATTCTTATCACTTATTTAAAAAACAAAGTCGATTAAAAAAATTTAATCCAATTCTAATGATTTTTGTTTTACATGACGCGTTGAAGTGTCAGTTGACACAATATGTACATATATACTTTATTAGTTAGATACAGTGCATTGTTTTGAAGTCAGAAGAGCATATATTTTAGAAATCTACCATTACTTTTTTTTTGTTATGTACATAAATATATATGCAACATCGTTTCTAAGATTTTTAGTATTAAATTTTGCTACTGTTTTTATTCCTTACCACTTTGTACGTTCATTATACAATATATTGGGTTGAGTCATAAGTAATTGCCGTTCTTTTGCACTAACTTTATTACTCTTCTAAAAAAGTTACGGAATAACTTAATCTAAAACAAATTCTCTATTATTAGGTACAACTTCTTCCTATTTATTCGGCAGTTTGTCAGTTCTTGAAGCAAAAAAGTTAAGTAGTTTTAGTAAGGAGAATGTGCCGATGAACTCTCGTATCTCCAGAACGAAATTTGGTAAATCAATTTCAAAGTGTTCAGATCTACATCTTGACCAATAACGTCACATATCTTGTTCGCAGTACTGGTCGCATTATTGCCATTTTGGAACTCTCACAACACTACATGACGAATATGCTGTTTTGATTTCTTAATTTCTACGGCCCAGAAAATTGTACTAGTACTTGATCTAGACTTGCAGACTGTTGTCCATAGACTTCTTTATCCTTAGACATAAAGTAACTGCCATAGCGACAAGGGATTGTAGGTCATTTAAAATTCTCGAAAAAGTTAATGACCCAGTACCTGCATCGGCAATTACTTGTGACCAAACGCAATATTTTCTCCATTAAGATGTTAATTTAATTTCTTAGAGTTATACAAGCAAGTATGGCTCCGGCTAAACACAGTTCTTCCAAGATGTTTATGGGTGTTATCAATAAACGCACTGTTAATAGAAAATTCTATTGTAAAAAATGTGTCTTTAACACAAGAAAACATTGTCTTAGATCCTTTACAAGTACTCAGATGTGACACAAGAGTCTTCAGATGTGCTCCAATTTTATCTATTATTTTAAGGTAAGTGTTTGCAAAGTTTTAAATTTGTTTACTTACTAGAAACTATTATCTTATAATAAATCTTTTTTAGAATTTTACAAGCTGCATTAGCGGCCTCTCGATCTCAGTTATCCCGACATATACAGGACAAACCGTTAACTGAAAAAATTGGACAATTATCAAGCGACAGCGAAAGAGAAGATTTAAGAACAGCATTAGTAGCGGGACAAGAGAGTGCAGCTGTTCAAATATTATTAGAAGCATGTTTAGAAACAGAAGAAGACAGACAAACTCCTGGACAAATGTGGTCCCTAAGAGAAATTCAAAGCATCATTTGTTCATACTTGCATCAAGTGTTTATAGCAGATCCATCATTAGCCAAATTGGTTCACTTTCAAGTATGTTTATTATTAAATTACCGATGATCATGCAAATCCATATTTTTGTAGAACACTAATTTACAAAAGTTGAAATTAGTCCAAAATTTATTTATATTCCTTTAGGACTTTTCGGAACATGTAAATATTGTATTTTCACGTATGTAAAAAATGCAAAAAATTTGTGGTGCAATTATCACTTATAATGGGAATACACGATCCGGAGGAGTGTTTTTTTAATGGAATTAGATTTGAATTATAGGTGCCGATGTATATAAACAATAGGCAAAATATTAAGAGTAGATGATCAATTTTAAGCAATTTGAAGCATTGCAATTTCATACATAAATTATAAAATTTAATTTAGTTTACATCTGCGGCATTGATCGAGGGGTTAACTGCGAGTCCTTGTAATTTGCGGTACATAGTTGGAATCTGGAAGATTGATATGTTTTTCTTGTAATTACTTTTATTTTTCTTATAATTTTTTATGTATGGTCTTTCTTCGTCTAGGATATAATATAGATATATAAAAAAATTGCATTAAAGAATATATTTGCATTAATATTATTTATTACAATAGTGTTGGATCATTGTGCGCAGCGTATTGCGCTCGGTATGGATAAAAGACAACCCTGCGCATAAACTATTTTATATTTCTGTTTATATTGATTGACTTCAATAATTTAAGCGTAATTTCATTAAAAAAGCATTTGTCTATATAATGCTTATCCTTTGTTAGTTGAAAATTTTGAAATCATAATTCTGTATAAATGCTTTTAATACTAATATTCTCTTTGTTCACAGGGTTATCCAAGGGAATTGTTACCCATAACAGTTACTGGTATTCCATCTATGCACATTTGTCTCGACTGGATTCCTGAATTGTTATCTCAACCAGAACCAGAAAAACAAATATTTGCTGTAGATTTGGCTTCACATCTTGCAATTCAATATGCTTTACCAAAGGCTTTGAGTGTTTCTCGGTTAGCAATTAATACTCTGGTAACACTTTTAGGAGTATTATCTGCTAAAGATCGTGTAATTTTATTTTTGCCTGTACTACCAGCCTTAACGCGTATATGTTTAGCTTTTCCACCATTAGCTGAAGATACTACAGGTTTACTGTTACAGCTTGGTAGAGTTAATTCTGCTCAAGCAGCCTTAGGAGATAAATCTGCAGATATTTTATGTCATGAAGTTACTGAAACTTTTTGTATGTTATTACAAAAAGCTATTTTACAGTCACGAGTATACTAACAAATTATACGTTTTCTTGTATCAATTATGGACTTATTGTTTTATTTTATTTAATTACAATAAAACACTTTTTATCTAAACATTTGGGGGGTATAGATTGCTTAATTCCAATTATTTCAATACATTGGAGATTATTTATGAAATTAGGAAAAGATAGGAATGTATTAGTACTATATGTATTATGCTCAATAAATGCTTTTTTAAGGGAATCAGGTACAGAGAACACTTGTGCTGAAAATATAAATCATTCATACAACATGATTGGAAGAAGAAAATTTGAGCTTCCATCTGCTGGCTTTGAGTTTCATAAACAAATGAATTGCTTCTTGAAAAAGTTTGACTTATGGGGGAAGACTCCGTGGGTCGTGAGCTGTATCCGTGCGTTCACACAAGCAACGGGAACCATTTATATTCTATGTATACGCGATGCATGAGAGAGACAATCGATTTCGTAAATACCAAAATACACTTCGATAATTGCACAAATGAAGTTTTCGCGGATATAGAACACACGGGTAGACTTCACTACAGAGTGGTTTAGTTCGTATTAACATCAATAAACACCATACGTTGAAAGAATTGGAATGTTACGAAGTGTGCGATTGGGACAACCACCGATGTAAACATACAAGATGGCTGCTCAAGTCACATTTTGTCAAATATCACATGATTTAATTGTTTTCTCGTCAAAAGCAGACCAGACCACCCTGCACACCACTGTCACACTATTGTAGAAATGCGATTTTTGTCAATTTATCACTTCTGGAAGGCACATGGTGGTGTTTACGATTTGACGCGTCCAGGTCCAAACCATAGACATATATAGACGGAGCATGAAATGAGCAGGGCAGTAAGATTCGCGGTAAGGGGGTGGTTAGTTATAAATCGGGTAACTTCGTTCCTTTTCGGTGCTATTCGGGTATACAATCACGTTACATACATGTATGCTATGAGAGATGAAAAGAATATACTTATACGTTAAAAATTCCGTATGTCATGTAGTTTGTATAGATATATGTATTTAACAAAATTAATAAATAGTATAAAGCATTAAATAATAGTACGGCACACAGCCCACCAGCCATTAATAACGAGCCGAATCGAGCCGAATGCATCCGAAGCTAACCGACTATCTAACGACCGCTGTCTTTTTCCCTCCAATCCTACGGTCCCCTCGCCCAAAGTGGTAGCTTATGCTCCGTCATAGCCGACTCTAGTACTAGTTGTGCTGAAGGTAAAAATGGCAACAACGCGGGAGTCCGGCTTCAATACCTTTTTTTTTTTTTTTTTTTTTTAACGTAGGGGAAATGCCTTATGCACACCTCGAAGTCCTGGGGTAGGACTCCGAGGTAGTGTGGGACTCTCAACCACTAAAACCCCCGCGGCAGCCTTCTCGGGCGGAACTCGGCGGTGGCGGGATCTCGTGTGAACGCACCGCCACCACCGCGCCTATGCTCCCCTTATCGGGGAACCCGTTCCGTGGGGGCGATCGAACACCCCCCAGAGGTGACCACTACCCTGGTCACCATTCGCGCGTCTCCAGCCGCGTTCTGTCGTTGCCTGGGCCATCTGTAGGTCGCCTCGTATGATCAACACGCCGTCCTTGCCTCCCTTACACGGGTCTTTTGTGCGACAAGTGTGCTCCTTGTCGCACTCACCGGTTGTTGACGTGCGAGGTGCCTACGTGACTTTTGGCCTAGCAACTGACCCGGATTACCGTTAATCCAACGGTAATCCTATTATTCGCAAATCAGCCGCCCTGCAGTACAGTGCTCATTTTAAGACGCTTGCTCTTTGCCGGTTCGATCGAATCATCGCGCTAATCTGAAATCACACGCTCAACGCTGTATTTTAGGACACGCCGCTGTATTGTATAATCGTTTCCCGTTAAAGTATTGTTTATTTAAATTGTTATTCGTGTACTTTCTGTGACTTATTAAACTAAACGTGTTCGACTACAAAGAGTGAAAACGACAAGTTTATTCTCCCATTCTTTGTACAAATTAATAAAATCTAAAATACTTAACAAAACCTATAATAATTAATAAAATCTAAAATACTTAATAAAACCTACAAATAATTAATAGAATCTACAATAAATGATTTACACTATTTATAACGATGATGTACGCGACACTACTAAATAATCACTACGTAATAATCGCTAAATAAACTAAAACTTAGTTGTCCGAACATGAACTCTATTTGCTCGTAGAATGCAAAGGGCACCGTTCGGAAAGGACAACTGATATTGTTGAACTGATCCTCCCTCGTATAGTCGAGATATTTGAGAATGTATGTATGTATGTGTATGTGAGACTCGATGCGTCGGGATGGCCGAGCGTGGAGAAGCGTCGTTGACGAGCTGAGATAAAGGCGCGACGATCAACGCAGAGTCGCATCGGAACGCTCGAGGAAGGAACCACGTGTTGCTTTCTTTTCTTTGCCTTCTGTCCTGACGAATTTATGTGAAGTTGAATGTGTGTACTTTATGTTCTTTTTGTGTAGTTCCTACTACACTCGTTAGGATCGATGTGGCGTAATAGGTCGATCCTCACTCTTTCATGGTCAATACTTTTTGGGAAAGAAAAATTGCATGGGAAAGTGTCTTAGAGGTCGCGTTTCTTTTCGTATATTCTTAGAGCAACATCTGCATTTTTTTCTCATATACCACTCGGGGCGTCAGGGCCACTTGGCCACGGTGCCGAGGGTGTGCGAGTCTTGATATTATAAAACTGTCTCTTGTCTTCTGCAGTGCGACCACCCGCGGATTGCCTGCAACATGTTGCTGCCATCGACAAAGACCTTGCCCATTGTGTTTTCGGCCGTCCCTCTTGACATTAACTTGTAAAAAGAACTTTCAACGCCGAATGCAAACTCCATGTTAGAAATGGTTCATATTACACAGAATGTATGTGTTTAACAATTTCCTTTATTTTATTTTATGTAGTTTCTTCATGCATCGTAGTGCGGATGCGACAAATTTCATCTTAGTTTCATTCTAATATCATTGTATGTTTTGCATGATCCATGTTAATTGCATATTATTTTTTTGCGGAAACAAAAACCTCAAACACTTGGAGTAAGATCGAAGTGGTAATAAAATGTGCAATGCACATAAAACATACAGTAAGTTAATATTCAATATTTCAGGAATAAAGATATTATCCTATCGAGCGAAGCTTCGAACGATAAGCAATTAACGCATGCACTCGTTTAAAAACATCGTTCGGCACCCCGCGACGGAGGACAAGCTCGTCCACACAGTCACCCCCTAAATAAAAGTCATTCAGGTATGAATGACACCAGCCGCTTACGGTCGACCGACGAAGGCGGGTTGCTACATGAAACGGAGCGCGCCGCTGTGTATTCCTGAAATATTGAATATTGACTTACTGTATGTTTTACGTGCCACTCCCAATAAGAAGAAACATGTGGTTTATGCACGATGGCGCACCACCGCACTACACCATAGCCGTTCGAGAACATTTAAATGAATATTTCGGGGACCGTTGGATTGGCAGAGGAGGTCCAGTTCCTTGGCCTGCGCGATCGCCGGATTTAAATCCCTTACATTTTTTCTTCTGGGGACATTTAAAAATACTGGTATATTCGACGCCAGTGAACTCCTTGGAAGAATTGGAGCAACGAATACGCTTTTCAGTAGGCATTATAACAAACACCATGCCAAAGTTTCGCAAAATACATACAAATTTACATCGCCGCGTTACATTGTGCACAGAAGAGAATGGTGGACATTTTGAACAATTGCTATCATGACACTCGCGGACGGGACAATCGTGCAGTGTGTGTGAACATTTTTCGCGGTCGGGATAATCGCGCAGTGTGTATGGACATTTTTCGCGGACTTCTGTGGTGTACGTGCATGTGCGGATTAATTCCATGGATACTCGTGGACAGGACAATTGTTATACGTGACAACTAGAGGGGGCATTAACCCTCTCTACTCGATAATATTCGTAAGAAGATATTTACATTTCTTGCGAATTTTATCGAGTAATCAGAGTTAATGCGATACAAATGGATTCGACTCAAATACCGCGGGCACAAGTTATCGACATCTTCTACGAGGTAAGTAAACAGCTGTTCTACCGACTGTTCCTGCATGTCGTTGAGTCTTTAAAGTGACTGTACGCTCCTGTTGAGCCGTGATCCGCTGACACTCCGTGCGCGCGGATTGCCATGAATTCGGTCAATTTTTAAACTCTTATAACTAACAAACGAAGCATTTTTCGCAATTTCGTTATTCTTGATTTTCGTCTTATTTTGCCTCAAAGAATCACCCCTTAAATTTTTTCCCACTAGTTGTCGAACACCCTGTACACGCTATTATTGCTCTGTCTATTGAAAATGCGAAAAAATGTTTCATATAAAACTTGTTTGATGTCATAGAGCAAATTTAACAGAATATTTGAATTTTTTTGCAATTGTTAGTTACAGAGATTTTAATAACAATGTACTTTTCTTAAATGAAACCTCATATTTTTGTTAATGCCATTTATTAAGCATTTCAGGACGAATTCAATGATGTATTTTAAAGATGTGTTAAAACAATAATTTGTAGGAAAGCTGTGAACATATTTAATCCATAACATGTGATTCGCGAGACAAGAAATAGTGAAATTATTGCTGGAACAGACCTTTAAAATATGTCATTGAATGCATCTTAAAATGTGTAACAAAAATACGTAGTTGTTTTAGACTCACGGTCTTTTCCGAAAATGAAACGATACTGTGAATCTAAGGTAAAAGGAAAGAAAACTGTAAACTGCGATGTGTCGACGAGACGGTTACGTAAGACTTCGGAAGGCTGAGAATCACGTAAACGAATGTCGATTATGGTGTCAATAGACGAACTGAGCGATTTGTCGAGCGCGTCAATCTACCGCGTCCGCCCCCTCCCCCGCCGCGCCCGCGGGGCCCGTGCTGCTCGATCCACCCGGACGCTCGCGGGAGGCGGTAGGGCGGTGCGGAACGACAACGCGTCGAACCGATCGACAGGTCAACGTCAGAATTTATTTAAAATGTATACAGCAAGAGAAATATTCAAAATCAAGACGA